ACTGTGTGATTCAGTATGACAGTGTCAATAAGTTTCACTAACCCTGTAAAAAATCGGTTGTAATAGCACATTAATATCATGTGGTCAGATGCCAGGGACACAAGCAGGGCTGGATATCAGAGTTTCTGAATACCGATGCCTTGACTTTGATACCGACTTCTGAACGATACCTTGTTGATGCTTTTTTTTAAATTAAAGACCAAAGAGAGGGTGTGGCTTAAGTCTGAAATGAGTGCCAGTTGGAGGAAGTGGGTATATTTTAGGGATGCACCAAAATTTTGGACAAAAAAGGAAAAAAATGCTTTCTTAAAATTGGTAAAGTTGGTGCACAGACACGTTCAAACAGTTTGAGCATCGTCTGATAAACAGTGAAAATGTTGGCCATGTAGAACTCTTCCATGGTTCCTATGAGGGATGTTAGACAAGCAGTTTGTAATCACTATTCGTGTCAGGTATCGAGGAGATGTCACCCAAGAAGCTATGTTTTTTTGGTTTTCGCTACAAGATTTTCATTTTAGTGCATCACTAGTATATTTACTGACTACACTGGATTGTGTGCTAATCAAGAAACACTGATAACATGCATACAGAATGTAATTTAGACAGCTAATCAGCACACGTTTCAGAAAGACATACGTGCACCTATTTAAAGTCAACCTGAAATCAGAATGGACCTTTTTATTACCTTGTTACTTGATCATATTATGCATCATTTATTGTATCATTTAAAGGACAAAAGTCTTGTTTTTCTACAATTATTCATCAAAATCCAATGACTTTTTCTCACCACTAAAACATCATCTGATTTTTGCTTATGTCAGTGGGCAGTGAATAATAATATTAACCAATAATATGTTTCACCTCCCTCTCCTACTACCCCCACCTCTCATCCATCCACATTGTAATAAAAAGTCTCTCACTTACATTGTTTTTGAATATGCAATTTTGGCAGAACTTTCCTGCTTGAGTGAGAAACAGTTAGAAAATATTTTATCACTGATAACTGCAACTTCTGAAGGTTACATTTTTCTTGAAATCTAAAAACAGTGAATCTGAATATATTTAAAAACAGTATTTAAATGTAGTAGGATTTTGCCTCTGAAAACCAAAATGGAGTAGAAGTGTGCAGCTTGGGTCAGTCTATTCCAGACAGTGTCTTTTCAATAATGCAGCTCATCCTTTAGCTCAGTGTTCTGACTCTGCATGGCCCATTGGAGTTCAGCAGTGATCTGCTTGAAAAGGGTCCCTAAGGCGCCAATGGAGTGTATGTATGTGTGTGAGCACAATGACAGGAAGCAGCCTCATAAAAAATGCATGTACACTCTGTGGCACCAAGGCATGATGGGAAATGAGGACCATTTAGCCTACATGCTAGCATTTAGTCCAGTGCATATAATGGCCAACGCTGAAATACCTGAAATACAAGGTTATACCAGACCGATTAGCATTCATAGCTCTGGCATGAGGAACATGCTGAAAGAAAAGGAGAGGGATGGGAATAGAGACAAAAGTGAAAACGAGAGTCAGTCACAAGGATGCACTTCATTTCATCATGCTGCACATTGTTATCATAAAAAGCTAAATAGCTGGCAAGCTTTTAAAGAAATAGTTCAGCAAGACCAAATTTACAGTTTCTCCTCTCATCCCAAATGTAGTCAGCCAGCCATGACTTGCCTTTCTAACTTGATAGTTCACAATCAAATGTATCATATCTAGGACCACATATGAAAATGGCTCAGGCTCAGGTCAGATTGAGAAACAATCAGATTTGCATGTCCACACAGCTCTGAAGACAACAGATCTGTGTCACACAAGGCAAAAAATTGGATCTGCGCCACTTCAACCTGGTAACATGAATGTACCCTAAACTTTGCTCCTGTAGCTGCGCTGCACTGGAGCCTCAAGGCTAATGTGGCCTGTAGGCAAAATGTTGCTCAAAAAATGAATCATTCCACTGAGCACTGTTGCTAAGTAACAACTCACTTTACACTGTGGCTTAAATTCTAATGAATGATTATCATAAATTATAAATTTTAGATATTAACATGTAATATTATATAATATATTATGTAATATTTAGTAATACATAACATTAAACAATATAAGAAATTGTGTGTATATACATATATAACATTTATTATTTATATTATAGCCCTATTCAAGCTGGATTAGTTTTTCCAGAGGAGGTCTGGTAATGTAATAGGTGCGTGATTTGACTGGCGAATTCATATAGAATAAAGGATCTCTGTAATTTCCCCAAATTACCCTAAATAGCCTGGATTGAAATATCATCATGTGGATGTGTACCGTAGCAATGATTATGCAACAGACACCACGCTTCCGAATAATAACAATTTCTCAGTAACTGCTGCACCATGTAAGGTGAAATGGGAAAATTTGAACAAGAAGCTGGTGAATAGGAAAATGTACTTTTCCCTTTTTCTTCAGGAAATTTGGAAATCCTGTTGAATATGGGACTCCAAGTGTAATATTGATGAGGCAAAAATGGCCCCCTATTTGTGGAGTCAACCTGCTATTTTATTCTTAGCATTAGCTCCAGTGCACAACTAAAGAAACAAATTTCAGACATCAAACAGACTTTTTTATTTATTTTTTTTTTTTTGCTCGATCAAAAAAGAATGTGTGTGTGTGTGTGTGTGTGTGTGTGTGTGTGTGAGTGAAGAAGACACAAACAGGATGCCTGGTTTTACTTCTTCCTGTTTTGGATGTTCTGGATATTTCTCCCCCAAAGACCTTGACCGTTACTGTGGCCATTCAGAAACTCCAGTAGTATATTTCACAGTGTATTGTGCTGTTACTTCAAATCAAGAAGAGGAGCTTGAATCTGTTCTCCACACTTTATGAAATATTTTCAAGAAAAGGCTGAATTACATTTTAAAGGACTCATCATGTTTTGAAGCAGTTTGAAGTACTCCGTAAACATTGTTAAGGTTCCTAAATGTACCACTGTCCATGCAGTCCATATATGGTCTAGCTAAGCTGAGCTGCAAAAACATGCCTGTTTTAAATTCATTGTTTCTGTGATGTCAGAAGAACCAACTCATTTACATATATGCACCTATTCAGCCTGTAACAGTTTTATCCTGCCCAATCATCCAAGAGAGATCATTTACATACAGTCAGGTCCATAAGTATTTGGACAATGACACAAATTTTGTAATTTTGCCTCTGTACACCACCAGAATGGATTTGAAATGAAGCAGTCAGGATGTGATTAAAATGTAGACTTCCAGCTTGAATTCAAGGTATTTATTGAAAATATTGCCTTAACCATATAGGAATTACAGCCATTTTTTACATGGTACCTCCATTTTTACAAGTAATTGGACAAACTAACAATTATAAATAATAATTATAAATAATAAAGGATTATTTTTAATACGTGGATGACTAAATCCATGACTGCCTGAAGTCTGGAACCCGTATATGTCACCAAATGCTGAGTTTCCTTTCTTGAGATGCTTTGCCAGGGCTTTACTGCAGCCACCATCAGTTGCTGCTTGTTTGTGGGTCTTTCTGCCTTCAGTTTTGTCTTCAGTAAGTGAAAGCATGCTCAGTTGGGTTGAGGTCAGGTGACTGATTTGGTCATTTAAGAACATTCTATTTATTTGCCTTAAGAAGCTCTTGGGTTGCTTTCGTGGTATGTTTTGGGTTATTATCCATCTGTACTGTGAAGTGCTGTCCTATCAGTTTTGGAGCATTTGACTGAATCTGAGCAGAAAGTATAGCTCTATACAATTCAGAATCCATCCTGCTACTTCTATCAAGAGCCACATCATCAATAAACACCAGCGACCCAGTTCCATTGGCAACCGTACATGCCCATGCCATTACACTGCCTCCACCATGTTTGATAGATGATGTGGTCTGCTTTGGATCATGAGCCCTTCCTTTCCTTCTCCATACTTTTCCCTTCCCATCATTCTGGTATAAGTTAATCTTGGTTTCATCTGTCCACAAATCTTGTTCCAGAACTGAACTGGCTTTTTTAGATGTTTTTTAATGAAGTCTAATCTGGCCTTTCAGTTCTTGAGTGTTACCAGTGTTTCGCTTCTTAAGGTAAACCTTCTGTATTTACATTTATGAAGGCGTCTCTTGATTGTAGATTTTGACAGTGATTCATCAACCTCCTCTAGAATGTACTTGACTAGATGTTGTTAAGGGTTTTTCTTTCATTATGGATTAAGTTCTACGATGATCCGCTTCAGTTGTCTTCCATGTTCCTTCAGGCCTTTTGGTGGTGTTGAACCCATCAGTGCATTCCTTCTTTTAAGAATGGACCAAATTGATGATTTGGCTACTCCTGAAGTTTCTGCTATCTCTCTGGATTTGGGTTTTTTGGCCTAATTATGGCCCCCTTCACTTGTATCAACACCTGTTTGGACCACATATCGAGAGTTCCTATGAAGAGCTACCAAATTTGGAATCAACTCAAGACCTTTTATGTCCTTAATTTGTCATGAAATAATGAGGGAACAGGCCACACCTGGCCATGAAACTGCTTATCAGTCAACTGTCCGATTACTTTTGAGCCTGTGCAAATGGAGGGACTATGGGGAAAAAATGTTTTTGTTAACCCCCTTTGAATTAAAGCCGAAAGTCTACACTTCAATCATATTTTGATTGCTGCATTTCAAATCTGTTGCAGTGGTGTACAGAGGCCAAATTACAAAAATTGTCTCTGTTCATATACATATGGACCTGACTGTATGTCAGTCTTAAAGGCTCAGCAACAAAAACAGCCTTTTTATTTCAAAGGGATAAAGAGATGTTGGAAAATGGTCATGTAAAAATGAATTATAGTCAATTTTGATCTATAAAACCACACAAAAGTGGAACTGAGGGGACAGGGGTAAAATAAATTACAAGAAAAATGTAGGATATGGGCCCTTTGAGACAAAAATAAATGTAACTGACAAGTCAGTGCTCTTTCAGAATTGATTAAAATAGTGCTGATTCTCTCTCTCTCTCTTTCTCAGGTGCTGTTGTGGCCTTGCTGAACACATACATGCACTCCTTGACTGGATTTTTAAGTAGAGCTTCCACAGTGTCACAGAAAGGTGAGTAAAAATTTGATGTTTCTTCAAGTAGTGTACTTGGCTGCTGTTTATAATGCTGGGTCAGGTTTTTTGATTTACATGCTGATCGCCGTCACTTTGTGAACACAATCAAAATTGCTGTCTGGCACTGTAATTGCTTACTAACATATAATTGGATTGGTGCCCATTACAAGATAAAATGCAAACAAAGATCCTTTTTATATACAAGTACAACCTGTATAATGGAGCTGTATGTAGAAACTGTGCAACTGTATGCTGAGGAGCTTTAAGTTTGACTTACTCCCCTTGGGCCAATGTTACAGAATAACTCCAAGAAAACAAGAAGGTCTACAGGAGATCTTTTGTTCCTTTTTATTGTTCTGCAATTTATTAATTATTCCGTGGTCATTTCCTGTTGTAAATGTAATTTATTCATCTGCTACCAAATCATCAAACCATATGACTGGTTAAATGGATCAGTGCTAGTCAATGCTAGAATGTCATGTTATTAACACGCACACAAATGATTTTGCTGTAGAATAAATTGCCAAATCTGGCCTAAATTGTGTACATGTTTCTATGAAAACACAAATTTTGGATCAGTTTGGTATAAGCTTATAGTATTAAAGGGTCCATATCACGTAAAACCCAGTTTTTCCTGTTTTAAATAAGAGTTTGATGTAGAACGCAAACAAAGTTTAAAAACATACCGTTCAGTCCCCAGTTTGAACAATTCATATGTGGAAACTATGCTGCAAAACACTTTGCTGTGATGTCACGAAAACCAGCGTATTGCTGTTGTCGGAACAAAGCTTTACAGGAAAAGGAAAAAAACTACTTATAATGTAAGTCAATGTAACCAGACTTTTTTCCAAGTCATTTTGGCCATTTGTTTTGGGCCATTTATCATGACATTTTTAGATAATGTAAAGGGCCACAGTCGTTTTCAAAATATGTCAAAAAGTGAAAAGCACCAAAAATGGACATCCGAGGTTTTGTCCTGACAGCAGCGATATTTACATAGATATACCCACACAGCATATATATACCAACAGCAGTTTAGCCCTGCCCATTTATGTTGAAGCTGTAAATAGTGCTTTTTAAAGGCACAATGCAGGGCAGTCAATTAGAACAGAGATCATTTACGTGTATTAGTATTAAACACATGGGTATGGTTGTGCTGTTATCTGGACACCTCATCTTAGTATGCAAATAAGACATGTTGGGGAAAAATAAATTGCATCAATCAAATCAACTGGCAGAGTATGTTAAATTACATGCTCCCAGAATATAAAAATGACTCACCATATTAATCGATTAGCCCTTCTGCTAACTGCACACAATGAACCTCTCTTTGTTAAACCTTCCATGTTTTATTTATAACAAAATGAACTTTTCATTAGCATATTTGAACAGTATTACTTCTATTAATATTAAAGCATTAAATTAAAAATGTAAAAAAGTGAAATGGCAAAAAAGTCCCTAGTCAGAGCTCAACTGTGTGTGTTTGTGTTGCAGGATGTGAAGAGGAGCGGAGTGGATGTCATCATTCTACACTACTGCAAAAGTGAGGATGAGGGAGAAGGAGGATGAGAGGATGGGTGACTAGAGCTGTGAATTGCTAGGAGAGAGAGGGGAAAAAGACTTTGAGAATGTGTGTGATACACAGATGTGTGTGTGTGTGTGTGTCGGTACTGTACATGTCTGGGCAGGCATTGCAGTATGTTGCATAACGTGGCTGTTTCGTCCTGCAGTTTGGCTCGGGAATGATGAGCTCATACAGGAATGTGTGCCTCTGTAAGAAAAAGGGAAGGGTGTGTGTGTGTGTGTGTTTGTATGTGTGTGAGTGAGAGTGTGTGTGTGTGTGTGTGTGTGTGTGTGAGAGAGTGTGTGTGTGAGAGTGTGTGCGTGAGAGTGTGAGAGAGGCTGAGGGGAAAGGCGTGTGACCTGATGGCCCGATCTTGGAGGTTTCCGCTGAACTCTGAGAGGGGTCAGTCAAACATGCACACCCGAGAAGCTGGACCAGGCTGCAAGAGAAGGTCAGAGAAGAGAACACTGTGGAAGAGGAGGGAAAGAAAGAGAAAGGGCTGCTGAGGTGATAAAAATTCTGTATGAGGTGTGCAGACAAGAGAAAGAAATAAAACTGAGAGAGAGAGCTTAAGGCGGAAGGAGGAAAATGAGATAGATGGAGGGAGAAAGAGGTGTGTCCATGGAATCATAGTAAACAACAGAATAAGGCATGTGCATATTTTGTTTTTGAGCATTTTCAGGACAAACATCTTGCAACCAGAGGGGAAAAAAAGACCAACCTGCAATACCAGTAACAAGACAAGCAATATAGTCCTGACTTTGTAATAAATAATGTTTGTAATTTAACAAAGAATTTTTTTTAACTGAAAGTGCTGCTGACAGGTGGTGATAATTCTGTGTGCAGAACAGAGCAAAAGGAATAAACATTAGAGAGAGAGGAGGGAAAGAGAGGAAGGAGGAAATTCAGGAGGGAGAGAAGAGAGAAAGAATGGAAAGAGGAAGGAGGAAAGTCGTCTAGAAGCGGAGAGAAAAAGGTGTGTCTGGAATGATAGTAAACAACAGAATAAAATGTGTGTTTGGGTGTGTGTGTTTGTGTGCATTGGTCTGTGTGTGTGTTTGCCTTTGTGTTTGTCTCTGTGTCTGTCTCTGTATGTGCTTATCTGTGTGTTTTTGTCTATATATGTGTCTGTGTGTGTTTTTGTGTTGTCTATATGATTGTGTGAATCTTTGTGTTTGTCTGCATGTAAATGTGTATTTGTGTTCATCTGTATTTTTTTTGTGCATGTCTGTGTGTGTTTGTGTGTGTGTTTATGTTTATGCATATGTGTGTTTTTTGTGTGTGTGTCCGTTGTTTGTGTGTGTCTGCATGATTATTAGTATTTATTTATTTATTTATTTATTTATTTTACCAGAAGGGGCAAAGCCATTTCTTTTTGGTTACTTAGGTCAAGATTATTGTTTGGTTTATACTTAGGCGTAGAACTTTCTATGCCCCTGCCCCCGTCCCTGCCCCAGCATGAGCCCCTGCCCCCGTCCCTGCCCCAGCATAAGCCCCTGCCCCCTTTGTCTCAAGATTAATAATAATGCCCTTTTTTTAATGCCTCTTAATACTTGTGCTGCTGTGTAAGTCCAGAAACGTACTTAACGCAAGTACACAAACACAAATGACAGCGCCCAGCCAGCGCATTGCGAACACCCGGCCCGTCTGTACAAATTCTCCATGCATTCTTACGTTGCTCTGGTGGTTCAGCATTTAGGACTCAGGGTGGCGATAGAGGACGAAAAGAACAGGCTTTACTTTCCAACAGTCGCAACAACTGACAGTGGACAGTAGAGAAGTTGTGTTGCGATATCAGTTGCGATGTGACATGTGAGAGCAGGCACAGTTTAGTTGCATCGGTAAAATTACGAAAGGTCTTTAACAACACCTGCCTGATTGCACAGTGCTGCTCATTAAAGTTCGTGTTTACATACTTCTTAGCAGAGATTCCAGCCAATAAGGGAAAAAAACAAGGCATAAAATGTCTCCAGTGCAAAAAATATAGCACATTTGATATGATGTATTTGTTTTTTCCAGTATGTTAAAGCTGCACTATGTAAAATTTGCTTGTTAAAATTAAAAGAAGACGCATTACTGAGTCAGGAGAAGAAAAATACATGCTGGAATATGGTGTCTTTGCAGTGCTGCGAGTCACTATATGTTACCATATAAAGAGGCATCGAGTCGGATTCTGCAGGAGTTTTTCTGCACCGCGTCATACGTCTTTATGAATTAAAGTCACTTGCACAGGCTTATTAAGAAGGTTTGCCTTGATGTTTAAGATTTTTTTTTTACAAATTTGGATTACAGAAGCAAGGCTAATGAGGGGGATGTGGTGTGTGAGGTTTCTGGATTTTTTAAAAAAAGAACAACACCTCAAAATTGAAACCATGATTTTGCAACATACATTAACGTAACATCAATGTGCTAGTAATAAACAATGCTGCCTGTCACAGTTGCCTAAAAACGATACAAATAAGTGGTTAAATAGAAGTTAGAACACCACTAGAGTTATCTCAAAGTTAGGACAATACTGAGGAAATTTTGTCTAGTTAGGCCAGGGGTCGGCAACCCAAATGTTAAGGAGAGCCATTTTGTCCTTTCAATAAAAATCAAACCACCTTGGGAGCCACAACATTTTATATCCATTTTACCATCCTGGCTGTAAATATGTCTCAGTATGTGCTGATGTACTATTGTAGGCTAAAAGATATAATAGTAACGAAAACGCAGACTTACTTTCCTCTGCTTTAAGCTTCAGCTCAGCTAAGTGATGCTTGATGTCCGTTTTAAATCTTTCTCTTTGCCTTTTTCTTAGCTTCTAGCTAGGCAAGATTGTTTTCTGAATTTCAGGGTTAAAGGTTGGAGAATTAGCAGTTGTAAGCTACATTAGCTCCAGCGTTTAAGACCGTAAAACTGTGTTAGAGTGATCAGCAGAGATTTCTTTTACTGAGGATTATTTTATTTTACCTAAAAATCTAATTCTGCTGTGGAGCCACAACAGAGCATTAAAAGAGCCGGATGTTGCCGACCCCTGAGTTACGATGTTTCTGAAATACTTAAAAACTGTTGTTCTATATTAGCTTTTGTCCTAAATTCAATCTCAACTGAAGTTGTCAAGATGACTAAACAGATTTCAGAGTTAAGATTTTTCTGTAATACAGCTTTTGGCTCATAGCTCTTTGAATGGGGAGAGACCTTTCAAACTGAAAATAAAAGGCTTAATATTTTAAAAGCATATTTGAAATCACTAATAAAATCTGACAAAAACAGCATAAATAGTTTGTTGCGTTTGGCTCAAATATCGCACAAAAACATGATTTTTCAGCTTGTTCTGGCTGCTGCTCATGCGCATATCTCCACAAGAGCGTGGAGATGGAGGGTTTCACACTTGCTGCTTAAACAGCAAGCTCATTGGCTTATGGTATTGAAGGGCGGGGCTTTTGTTATAAGCAATCCCATTCTTATTTCAACCAGTGACCTGCCTCCTTCTTTATAACAGCTCTGTTTATACTCAACAAAGATATAGGGGTCAGAAGAAATAAATAGAAATTGTGCACAACAGATGACATGTTTAGGTTTTTTGCATATGACTGTAAGTAGAAACAGAGATGATGTTGTGCGAGGATCTTGCAGGCATTTGTTTCACCATTGCTGATAAAAGGTGTTGATGGTTTAAAGGAAAGGCTAGAGCTTTTTTGTATTTTATTAAATATTGGTTCCTGGCAGTTTTCATACATTGTTTTTTAATGATATTGATTCCTTTGACACTGGCTCATTATGAGAATATACACCTTCTCTTTGGACTACAGCAGGGTATTGACCCACTCCATACTGCAGAGACACACACACGCGCGCACACACACACACACACACACACACACACACACACACACACTGAACGAGGGATGACCCATTTCTCCTGGGGCCCTGGTTCAGTCCATCATCAGTGTATATACTCTCTCTCTCTCTTTTTCTCTCTCTCTCTCTCTCTCTCTCTCTCTCTCTCTCTCTTTCTCTCTCTCTGCTGCGGCTGAGGCCTGGAACATTCCACGCATTCAGCTGAATGTGGAAATCCTCAAAAATAAGCTCTCAGTCTTGCGCACACACACACACACACACACACTTTCTTCATTCACGTTGTCATGAAAGTGTGAAAAGGGGCAGAACTTTCCAAGGTGTGCAGTGAGTAGTGTAAGGGTCATATGTAGTACTGTCAGAGTCGGTACCCAAAGTTCATTCATTCAGGAATGTGTGCGCATGCGTGTACAGTGCTGAGCACAGAAAAAGAGACTAATCTTAGTCTATTTAATTTCCAGTCATTAAGTACAAGTTATTCATTTTTCAGGAGATATTTCTCAAGAAATTAGATATGATGATCCACTTGCAAAAGAAGTAAAAGAAGGGGGAGTTTAAAAAAATAATTTAAAGCCCTAAAATGAATCTAATAACCATGCAAGACCTGTTAGAGAGAAGAGAAAATCAAGCCCCACTCTTGCTTCAGATATGAAAAAATCCAAGTGTTTCTGTCCATCCTACTGTGAGAAACTCAGCGCTGTGAGTCTGAAAGGATGTGTAGCTGTCAAGAAGCCATTATTGAGAAAGGAAAAGAAGAAATGTGCAAATCGAACAAAGCAGATTGTTATTGCTGGTGTTCTCAAAACCACCCCAGACCTCAACATCACTGGAATGTGTTTGGGATTATTTGGATTATGGGAAGCAGAAAAGTGCAACCAACTCCTAAGACAGAACTTTGGAGGTGTGAAAAAATATCCCTGCAGATTTCTTTAAAAAACTGAAAGCAAGTCTCCTGAAAAGAATGAAAACTGTAATAAAGGCAAAGAGTGGACACAATAAATATTGAAGTCTTTGATATATAGTTGAGGTAATAGTTCTGTGTAATGTTCTGTTAAATAATGTTTTGTGTATTTTTCCTGGTACTGAAAAATGAACAATCTGTACTTAATGACTGTTTTGACTAGAAATGAAATGAATGAATGTGCTCTGTGACTTCTGCACAGTACTGTATACAAGAATAAAATGTATCAAAAATGAATCTTATCATGAAATCTGTTCTATCCTTACAGTATTATTCCGGATGAAAGTGTCACCATGTTTAACTTGTGTATCTGTAACTAAGCAGTTGAGAATCGTGTGTGTGTTTCAGGTGCTGATATGTGTTGAAGATGAGTGGAGTTGGAGAGAACTCTCTGGAGCCGCTGTGCTCTGACCGAAAACGCAAACTCTCCACATGTGACACACCTGGACTGGGGTAAGTGTATGTGTGTGAAAAACGCATGTAAATTAGAAATGCGTGATTGAAATTGCCGAATTTTTGCTTCAGTTGGCCAATTTTAAATAAATTTTGCATAATTATTATGTATTACATAATATGTGACTTATTGTGCTAAAAAACTATTCACCTCTCACTTCTAATGCATTTAATTTAAAATATTTTTTCGTGTAAGAATTTAAAATGCCGGTTTGGCTCATTAAAGGGCAAATAATGTTACTTATATTGTGACTTCAGCCAGTAGAAAGTGCTGGATACGTATTAGCATATACATAGTATATTTCATGTGTTCATTTAGCAATGACAGTGTTTGGTTTAAGAAATAAAAAGGTCAATTTGGCTATAAAGAAATCTGAATCTGCCATAAACATTCATGGTAGATGCATCCCTAGTGTAAATCACTGACCACGCAGTGAGTCGGTTATGATTCTGTCAAAAATAATGTATGGCAACATGAAATCTCTTATATTCTCTACAGTTTGATTTAGTTTGTTTCTTTGGTACAGTTCGAAATTAATTTTAAAAATACACTGAATATATAAATGTGACGAAGAACTATTTACAACAAATGTTACAGTTTACTGTAGAATATAGATTAAAGCAGTATATTAATCTTTTTGGGGGATATTATGAAAAAAGCCAGATAATGACCTTATTCCTCAGTACTAATGAATTGTAGCATCAATGCAATGGAAAACTGATGCAGTTTAAACAACAGGCAGGCAGTATGACGATATTTATCATTATGGTAATAAATTGTCACAATATTTTTTTTCTGTGCATATTCTCACAGCGTTGATGGTATTTTTTTGTAGTAAATGTGTGATCCACACATTTGTCTTTCAAATTTCAGGAAAACTAAGAATTGTGATGCATGTTGTGTACCATGAAAATGTCTTGAAGTATCATGATATTATATTATTGCATACTTTGAACTGATGCATCAAGAGGCCTTTTTGCAGCCCTAGAAACGAGCTTTATACCAATCATGTTCTGTTACCTTTTGCTAACATCTACCTGTCATGCGTGCGTGTCTTTCTCCAGGTGTGATAAGCGTCGGAGAGAGCAGGAGTGCAAGTACATTGAGGAACTGGCCGAGCTGATCTCTGCCAACCTCAGTGACATTGACAGCTTCAATGTCAAACCGGACAAATGCGCCATCCTTAAGGAGACAGTGCGGCAGATACGGCAGATCAAAGAGCAAGGTAGAAGCACAGCTGCAGCTTTATTTCACTGTGCTTGTCATTAGTAATCAGGAGAATGTTAAAAAAAGTCCTGAAAGCCAGTGATTGTGTGCAGTGCTGCCATCTGGTGGTAGGGTGCAGCACTTAACTTGTGCAGCTGTTTATACAAATATGTTTGTACAATGGTTATTTTGTTTTGTAATTCAGTTTTAGTAACTGCACTACATTAAAATATAAATGCAACATTTGTGTGTTGCATGTATGTTTTCAGTATACTTATAATTTCAGTAGCTACTTATTAAATATTATGTCACAGACGTTTGGTTAGATTTGTCTGTCACTATCTCTCCTTTTTTTTCCCCTTTTTGGAGAACTTTTTAGTGATTTGTCTGTGATTATTTGTTGCGACAAGTCTTTGGTGTGTTTTGCAGGAAAAGGCTCATGTGGCGACGACGATGTCCAGAAGGCGGACGTGTCCTCTACAGGTCAGGGGGTCATTGACAAGGACCATCTGGGCCCTCTACTATTACAGGTGAGTCATATGAAAGATTATTAAGGATATCAGTAGAGCATATGCCTTTTCTGATTGTTTGAGAGATGGACAAATACAAAAGAAAAAACATAAGCTTTGTTTTGAAGACAGAAGAATTCAATTGAAAGTGGTCAGTGCAAATATTACAGCTTACCACATAGACAAAGCTAGTTATAACAGTCTGAGGGGCTAGTTGTAGCATTTGCTCAAAAAGCGTGATAAGTTGGCACAAAATTTATTTAGTACAGTTCTGTTTTGTCTGAACTATGTCAGATGTCCACCCTAAGTGTCTAAAAATGTATGCAAGAAAATAAGTGTTAGTATAAAGAGACTGTGTGTCAAACACTGGGAGATTTATTTTTGACTACAAGCTATTTATTTTATTCATATGGCATCTATAGTATGTTTTTGTTGAATCTGTCAATAAAAAGTTTACTCATGAATTTATAAGGAGGATATGGAGGTCTCTCAGTGTTTACATTGGAAGGCTTAGTCGTAACACCATTTTAAAGCGCAGAAGTTGTACTTCAGCCTAGCTAATTCTTGCTGTTAGTTGTTTATATTCTTTAAAATGTTGCTTTGTTACAGCTGCCAAGACGGTGGTTAAAATAATATAGGTGTAGATTCTGTGGTTTATATATAACTCAGTAATTGAACAACACTTAAAATTATATGAAAACTAGCAGTCGTTATTGCTATTGGAATATGAGAAAGTGGTTAGAAGTCACTTTGAGTTTGCATTCAGGCAGATGTAGTTTACACTTATTGCAGTGTTACTCCTATGCCTGAAAAAATATATGTTTTATATCAGAATTGCAATTTTAAATATTGGTTATATTATCAACAATGATGTCTTAGTTTAAAAAGGGTGTTGTAAGTCTGACAGTCTGACAACAATTCTGGCATACAGGCTTTTATACTATGTATTTCCTCTGCAACTCTTTGTATATCTGCTAATACAGGACATAAACAGCATGGGGAAATTTAACCTAATAACATGAAGTTTGTGATTTGCCTGCAAATGAGTTGACCAATCAAAAGCAACCAAACACCCATGTGCTGTGCACATGACAACACAACCAAAACTCTGACGCACTATGTCCAGTGTTTAAGCCTCAAAACAGTAAAGGTGTATAATGTAGTGTTCTTGGTCAAAATAACAGGCCTGGACATTAATTTATAGAAAATAATCGCAATAACAATATTGGTCAGAATACTCACAATTATATATTTTCCCATATCGGTCAGCCCAAGTTGCAACGCTACACCTGTGCATATCATTATTTGTTAATTGTGTGGTATTTCTGAAATCTTATTTTGCAAGTGTTCTCTTCTTTTGCACTTTATTATTAACTTTGTTTATTGCCGACTTACGAACACAGAGCAGTACCCAATACAAATACAATTTGTTGTATCTCAAATGAAGCTTTCCAATTCTAGTAACAGTTAAATAACAACTCCCTCTGTCTTTCTGTCTCTCTGTTTCTCAGGCTCTGGATGGGTTCCTGTTTGTGGTGAATCGTGAGGGCAACATTGTTTTTGTGTCTGATAATGTGACTCAGTACCTGCAGTACAAACAGGAGGAGCTCATCAACACCAGCGTCTACAACATCCTGCATCAGGATGACAGAGAAGAGCTCCAGAAAAACCTGCCCAAAGCCAATGGTGCACAGCTTTCCATTTGCATCCAGTTATTTAGTCGATGCTTTTAGCCAAAGTAACTTCTGTTAAACTCCTCAGCAAAGGGGTCTCGAACTGAGATTATCTGGGAGCCACTAGCCAAGTGGTCTTCTCCAAGGCGGTCCAGTTCAAAAAATGCAGGGGGAAAAAAGCAAATGTGAATTTTAACTACATAACATTCACTTTGGACTTAACTGCAGAATTATATGGGACCCTTGTTGTGGTAAATGTGGTGTTCCTGCTGAATTGTGAGTGAAGCTTGAGAGCAGATGAATCATTCCCGTTTGAAGATTCTTTTCATTTATGAATTCTGATATGTGGTATCTACCATTGTCATGAATGAATCCACGGGGGCAGACTTAAGTAACTATCTGCATAAACTAGAATAGTAGCTAAGTTAGTTATAGCTAAATTATATTCATGTCTGCTCTCTGTGCAGCGTTGGGTTTTTTGTTTGAATGCTTCCTCTTCCATGCAGCATTCTGTTTTTGCTTTTAACAGCCTACATTGATTTTATGCAGCTTATGCTAGATAATCAGCCACGATTATGCAGTTATTATTCTTAAGGCTTGCTATTTAATAACTGCTTTAAATTATTCGTTAACTACTGTGAAACTGATATGCAAGTTATATAACTATGAGATTGAATTCACATGTGGGCCCACTTATAGGCCTTTGCAGTTTAATGGGTTAATTAGCTATTAGAACAGTGCTGACTGATGTATGTATGCGTATAGGACCTAATGGCATTTCGTGGGCTGGGGACGCCTCTCGCCAGAAGAGCCACACCTTTAACTGCCGCATGCTGATGAAGTTTGGACATGGAGGTCCTGGTGGAGAGGAGGTTGCTGGCAGGTCGCGTTATGAGACCATGCAGTGTTTCGCCCTCACACAGCCTAAGGCCATGATGGAGGAAGGGGAAGGTGTGACCCTGCTTCACGCACATATGCACATACACTCACACTTGCACTAGACTGCACAATTTTATTTTATTTTTTTTGGAATAAAGTGTTTTCAAATGTAATCCCCAAAGTGTTGTGGTAATTTTTACTACTGAACTTGAATAACAGCACCCAAAAAAGTAAGCATACAGCACTGTTAATAGTGGCCAAAGTCTTTTTTTTCCCCTCTTATTTTTCCCCGCTCACTAAGTTTTATGGACAATATTAGATGTGGCCATCCCTATCAACTACATTAGTTAGGTCACTGCAGTGAAAAACTAAAGAAACAAACTCCTAATACCACACATAGCTTATTGGCTACAGACAGGCTTATACGATCACTGTTTCACCTCACAGTTTCTGTTTCACCCTATTTAAAAAGATGTTGTATGTTTCAGACCTGCAGTCGTGTATGATCTGTGTGGCACGAAGAGTGACTGCAGTGGAGCGGACGGAGAGATTCACCACCAGACACGAGCTCTCAGGTGAGCATACTGTCTCTTGACCCCTCACAGTGCCGGCTTTTTAAGCAACCTGTCAGAGAAAAGATCCGTTAAGGCACAGTCACACTGCGCAAATTTCCCCAAACAGCAAATTTCCGCGAGTGAGATTGCATTCATTTTAGTGTAATTCTCTGAGATGAGAGCTGTACTGACCTCTGAAAGGGTGCTTTGTTTAAAAACGGTCCACCTCTTATAACTTCAGTGTGAATGGGTGGGGCTAAACTGCTGTAGGCTGAATAGGTGGATATATTTAAACACACTGGTTTCTGTGAGATCACAAAAACTGTTTCAAAACTTTTTGCAGCGAAGTTTCATATATAGAATGTATAAACTGGGGAGTGAACAGTACGTTTTGAAGCTAGTACTTAGATTTTGTATCAAACTTATTTCAAGATTTCATAGAAGAGAGGAAAATTTAGTATTTTCATGATATGGATCTTTTATCCAATGTCTCAGCACGATATGTAAACTTTCTCCAGTGTCTAAGCACAACAGTTTTTTGGCTACAGATCAGTGTGCTGCACTGTGTTCTCGAGTAAATGATGATGTTTATATTATTACCTTCCCTTTATTGTCATTACCCTTTATAGTTAGCAAGTTAGCTAGCTTACTAGATGCACAGGGAGATTTTTTTTGTCAGCAATCTTCCAGATCAGCTTCTGTCACACCCATTTCTCAAGGTGATGTCAACTGCGCATGTCCAGAGTGACTGTAGCTATAAATTGTGATCATTGCCTTTAAAGGATAAAATGTTAAAATGTGAGTTTTTTTATGACTTTGTTTGTAAATATGTGTGTGTGTGTGTGTGTGTGTGTGTGTGTGTGTGTGTGTGTGTGTGTAATACAGGCAAGCTGATTGAAATAGAGCAGCAGAATACATTACATACCACCATGCGCCCTGGCTGGGAGGATCTGGTGCGCAGGTGTATGCAGATGTTTCTCAATCGCAGTGAAGGCCAGCCCTGGTCCTACAAACGGCATTACCAGGAGGGTATGTGCTTTAGTGCATGTGTTGCAGTGTGTGCTGGAAGGTGTTGGGTGCAGAGTCAGAATTTTTGCTGGTTATTTGTGAGAGTTACGTGGAAAAAACAGAAGCAGAGCGGTTGTGAGCGTGGTGCACATTCTGATATACATTCATACATATGTTAGGGTTGGACGGTCTCCTCTTTTTGAATACCTTCAAACTATCTGCAAATAATACTGCAGTATATGGTAGTATATAGTATACAGTATAAAGGTATAGTAAGTGATGCAAAAGCTGCTTAATTTTAAAATCTAAAAAAAGAGTACTTCACTTACATGGTCACCATATAAGTGAACACTGCACAGTTTAAGGCATTATTCAATGAATGTCAGACCATCTATCTAATAATTACCAAATGTTAAACTGTTGTGAACTAGAGAGAGGAGCTGATTGACATTAGCTTTTTTGGCATGATAACAGCTCTGCTCGCTAAAGAAACATATTCCCTTCTGGCTAAGTAAAGCTAACTGGCATAGTGATAACAAGATGATGGACCAGCTGTGTCTCAGCAACTGAAACTTCTTCCCAAATTTTACAAGGATTCAAATCTCCAGAAAGCAGCTCAAACGGGCCTCAAACTGGGCTAAAAATATCTAAGTTGTATGTGGAAGAACTCAAGAAAGAAATCAGTTTTTTTACCCTCTGCAGTGGCAGATTTTGTTCATATGATAAAGAAGAAAGATATTATAAACAATTAATGTAATGACACAAAATAATCAGTGGTTACAGTACAGTAAATAAGTGTGGCAAACAATTTAAATGATAAAGGCAGAGAAGGTCAGTGTTTCTTTTCTCTATTCTGTTACATTTAATACTCTTAAAAACATTTAATGAATTTAATAACTTTCGGTTACAGCAATTCTGTGCTATTTAAACACCAGTAGCTAATCAGACTCGTGTTCTTGAACTCCTCAAGGTAAACAGCCAAGATAAATATTTTAATGGTAGACAGTGCTGATGCGCAGTTCTCAATCTCAAGCCGAGACCACAGTATCACTAGTGTGGGAGACTTTGTGGGAAAGTCACTCTCAAATCAATAATAAAGACTGTGTACTTTTGTGACAGTCATCCCAAGACCCCCAAACCTATTTGACTTAATTTTGCACCAGTTCACAAGAACCTGTGTATGTGTAATTCTACATGTGCAGCAGCAGTTGTACTTTCAGTAAACCATATGTGCAGCAGTTGTCACTCACATTCACAAAAAAAAAGTAAAAATTTCTCAGTGTATTTTCACTAATGTCTACCTTAAAACTGGCAGAACATCCAAACTCTTTTCAACCTTTCGCCTTATTTTAGTGTGCTTTAAGACCAGGACCTCTATATCCATCAAGTCAACAATGAAAAGTTCACTGTTGACCTGAGGAGCCCTTTTCCTGACTTCATTCCCTACTTTGAAGTGTAAAGTGGGAAATGTACTACTGTCTACTATCTAAAAGTCATTAATGCTCCTTTCTCTCTCCCTATTTCTCTGTCTAGCTTACCTACATGGTCGAGCAGAGACTCCATTGTATCACTTCTCTCTGTCAGACGGAACACCAGTAACAGCACAGACTCGCAGTGAACTCTGCCGAAACCCCAACACCAACGATCCACTCACCTTCCTTTCAACTCACCTATTGCAGAGGTTTGTTATCTTGACTCATATTGTCCCTTTAACAGAAATATCAGGGTGCTATATTCCTATTTGTTATAGACGTATTGCACTTACCTCTCATTTTGTTATAATATACATAATTATCTCCCATTCTTGTTTCCTTACTAAACACATAGTATACTTCACACTTCTTATTAAAGACATAGTATACTGCCCACATGCTAGTAATTTTGCACTTGTTAGTGCTCACACTGTGTATTACATTATAGATGTTAGTTGCTCTACTAGGATACCTTTTGTGCTTTTTTTGTACTTTTCCACCTTTTGATCACTTCTTTAGTGTACTTCCTTTGCGTGCATTAATTTACTGTGCATGTTGTACATGTTTATTTGGTAATGTGTTAGTTGTAGAATGCTGTACTCTCTTCCCTCACTCTTTTTTCCCGCTCTCTTATTTTATGTTTTTAGGGAGCAGAACAGCTACAGGCCAAACCAGGGAGGTGTAATGCGGGCCCAGGGGATAGGAGGTGCCAACCATAATTCCCAAATGAACATGGCTCCTGGTGGGCAGATGGGCATGGGCAGTGCCAGAGGCTACGGCATGAATGACCCAGGGCATATGGGACCCAGAGGAGGCCCCATGTATGGACCTGGCAACAGAATGAATCAGATGAATTCAATGCACCAGATGAATCAAATGAACCAGATGAACTCTATGAACCAGATGGGTGCAATGAATCAGATGAATCAGATGAACCAGATGAATCAAATGAACCAAATGGGTTCTATAAATCAGATGAATCAAATGAATCAGATGAATCAAATGAACCAGATGAATCAGATGGGACACCCAGGAATGAATCAGCACCAGCAACACTTCCACGGTGGGGGGTATGGCCTAGGCATGACAAGTCCATCCCATAGCAGCCCAGGTATGAATCCCTCTCAGCAGAACATTATGGGTTCTCCACGGATACGAGGAAGCCCCAAGATGGGAGCCAGCCCCTTCTCTCCAGGAGGTATTTATATATATGTACTTTATATAAATTTACATATATATCTCCTTTATTTAAACTAAATTTATGCAAATTATTTGGACTGTAAGGATCAATGTGATATCCAAACATGATGGAAATACATAGATTTTTTTTTTCAAACTAAAACTAAAATGTATACATTTTTAAACAGACAAAACTGAGGAATAAGCCAGGCCTAAATAGGCAGTAATGTTGTCTTCTTGGTATAGCCTGTCCAGTCATTAGTGCTAATTAATCAGAAATTAGTGCTTGATTAGTCTAGCAGTTAAGAGTTCTCCACTGACATCTGTTTCCCAAGCAATTTCACTTCAAAATGCATTTCCATTGCACTATGCCTGTCTGTCCAGGCAATACATTGCCTACTATGCTGTTGTGCAGTTATGCTAGTGGTGGTTACTAGCTTCCTTTCATCACTAGCCACATATAACATGTCTGGTCGAGCCAATCCTTTTTGTTGTATACGTTACTATATTTGTTGTTTGATTGGCAGGTATGCATTCTCCCATGGGTCCTGTGAGCATGGGTGCCAGTACTGGCTCCTCAGGTCCACCAGGTGGCAGCACTTTTTCAAGCAGCTCACTCAATGCCTTGCAGGCCATTAGTGAAGGAGTGGGCTCTTCCCTCCAGTCTGCTCTCACGTCCCCTCCACACAAATCCGACAGTTCCCCCAGCATCAACTCCACTCAGTCCAGTCAGCCGAACCAGTCCGGGGCAAGCAAAGGCACTAGTACTGGCGATTTGAAAAGCCCCGGTGTTGCTCACAGCTCGGGAGCCGACCAGCAACAAGCTACTCCATCTGAGACCGCAATGGATAAGCCAGATAGCCAGTCCAGTAAAGATGGTGGACCCGGGGCCGACAGCAGTCGGAGGGCTGCAGACGGAAAGGGCCATAAGAAGCTGCTCCAGCTGCTAACATCCCCACCAGAAGAGCTCACACTGGCAGCAGGAAGTGGCGGACCTCCTGGCCATGCTTCCACACCCATGGGTATAGATTCAAAAGAACCAGGCGGCTGCATGACCAGCCCTACTTCCACGGGTGTATCTTCATCGTCTTCAGCTTCGTCATCAGGACAACAGGGTTCTGGATGTGTGTCCTCTACTGGCTGCATGGGAGGACACCTCTCGTCCCACTCACTGCAGGAGAAGCACAAGATCCTCCACAAGCTGCTGCAGAATGGCAACACCCCGGACGATGTAGCCCGCATCACAGCCGAGGCCACAGGGAAGGTCAGCCTGGGTTCCGACCATCCGGGCACGGAGAGCACCGGCCCAGAGATAAAGCAGGAGCAGCATAGTCCGAAAAAGACACACGCTCTGCTCCACTACCTCCTGAACAAGGACGACTCCAAGGAGCCCAACCTTGGTGAGGGCAAGCCAGGACTGGATGAGCTAGAGACTCGAGGTGTTGGTGTGGGGCCTGGGTCAGGAGTCACAACCTCTAATTCAAGGTGTCAGGATGCCAAAATCAAGATTGAGCCGTCTGATGAGGTACATGAAAATTTAAGCGGAATCAGACACCCTGGAGTTCGAATCATTCAAAATTACATTATTATGTGTCTTCAATTCTACTTCGGTACCTTTTTGATTAACTAATAGTAGTGGAGTTTATGTGAAAATGCCAGACACCTTTACTAATACAGCCCTCTTTTCCGTTCAGCTGGAGAGCCTGGAGAGCATTCTTGGAAGCCAGACGAAACCTGGTTCTGGAATGTTTGCTGATTCTAGACCTGGAAGTGGGTCAGATGGAGAAACCAAGAAAGGGAATGGACCCAACAACACTGCACATGGTAAGACCTGATTCTCATTTGACATTAACAGTGTGTACAGAACATAACCAAGAGGCTTAGTAATATTGTAAGTTTTGACTGTTGGGAATGTGTAATGTATAGTGTTTATTGTGATGACAATACCTAATTTTCGGTGTAGATCGAGATGGTGGAGGAATGGGGCCAGGAACTCGTGTGCCCTTTCAGAGGGCAGCATCTATGGACAGTAAACCGCTCAGTGGGGCAGGAGTAACGGGCAGGAGAAGTGCCCCTTCCTCTCTCATCAAACAGGAGAGCTTGGACAGCCATATCGGCATGGGTAAGGCGCAAAGTCAGTTAGTCTTATCAAAGCTATACTTGCACACTTTCCCCTTTCCTTGATCAGCCAAGACTTGTTTGGTGTCCGAGGTTTGGTTAATTAATTTTAGAGACTTTTCAGCGATAACAAGTATAGCTAATAAAAATCAGACATTTATAACCTCCTAGTAGCATAATACAAACATAGCATCTCAAAGTTACTTTAAACTACGTTGAGCTGTAAAGTAATCTCAAAGGACTTGTATAATTTTTACCACTGTAGTTACATTCTGTTATCTATAAAAATGGACAGAAGAATACATAAACAAAAGAAGAAAGACAAAAGGCAGCATCTTGAATCCTGAATTTTTAACCATGGATTTATTTATATTTTATTCAAATTTATACAAATGTAGTTTTATGAAAACTATCATGTTAAGAATGAGTTAAATAACCACAAGCAAAAAACCAAAAAGTTTATTCACAGATGATGAAAACTTTGTGTATGTGTAATTCAAATCTTGAAACAAGTTATTTATGATGCATTTCACTTCCTTAAAGTGTTCTTTCGGTTCTGTTTAATCCTGCGTTATCCATGTTTTCATCTTGTCCACAGGAGGTCCCAACAGGCAAATGGGCATGAATCAAATGCCACCCATTATGGGGTCAGGTGACTGGAGGATGCAGGGCCCCAGTGGCAGCCCAGGGGGCTCCAACGGTCACCCTGGTATGGGCTGCCCAGGTGTGGATCCAAATCCCAAGGGAATGATGGGAGGTCCATTGATTAACAGATCCAACAGTGTACCTGCTCCCAGATCCATGCTACAGCAGCAGCTAATGGACATGGGTATGTTGCAACATGCTTGCATGTTTGTGTATGCAAACATTGCAGAGGCCTGATTACTGATCGTAACTTTGAGGACACAGGAAGAATAGCATATTATTTAATATCTTACTGAGGCATTTTTAAAATTGTGTAAGCTTCGAACTGATCTTGTATATTTAATGGCTCGCTCTGTGCAGGTCCAAATGATATGGGTATAGGTGTCAATGCATTCAGAGGGCATCCGCACCCCCCTCGATCTCCCTCATGGCCTGACTGCGGGATGGGTCTGGAGGGAGGTCACAATGCTAACAGGTACGAGTAAACAGAGCAATTTTAATAAAATCCAGTTTATCTATACAGTCATATGCAAAAGTTGGAACACCCCTGGTCAAATTACCTGCTTTCTTGATTTTTCTAAGTGACAATAAGTTAACACGTCCCCTACAGAGGACACACAAATATGGCATTTTCCTGCAAAATTGAGTGCACATTTTCTGTTTATTTCTAAAGGAAATAACTAGTAACTTACCCTCTGGTTTCTTGTATGCAGCATGCCGTTTGGCAACCCACTGGATGATCTTCTGGTTCCTCCAGCAACCAGTGAAGGGCAGAGTGATGAGCGGGCTCTGTTAGACCAGCTGAACTCTCTCCTCAACAACACAGACGTCATCGCCCTGGAGGAAATTGACCGGGCGCTCGGGATACCGGACCTAGTCAGCCAGGTTGGAGGAGAACATTGATGTTTACCTGCGTCGTGTGTGGATCTTAGGATTCATACACTGGAGATATTTAGTTTGTAATATTAGTGGTGCATGGAAAAAGATAGGACAGGGGTTTCCAGCTGTGGTCCTGGAGGGCCTTAGTCCCAGCAAGACCAGCTAAGACCAGCACATTGACCACTGAATATAGTGCGTTAGACTGCAAGTTAGTTGTGGTTGTTTTGTCATATACAATTCAGGCATGTTTGGTTGCTTCTGATTGGTCTAACTCATTTACAGGGCATTTACAGGCTCAGTGTCACTAGGTTAAATTTCCTCAGTTAAAACTGGACAACATTGTTGATAGTGGAAACATTACTGTGGTGATGGCATTAGCATTGAAACTTAGTTATTTATCAAAGTAGAGCTTTAGTGGTGTTGATTGTTTATTTAAGGTGGAAAAGTCAGAAATATGCACAGTTCCGTTCCTTTTTGTTGCATATTTTGTAGAATTTAACACCCCTTTCTTAATCTCTTAATTTTACCGTTCATTCTAGCCTTATAAATCTTACCACTGATAATGTGCTAGCATTCCATTAATTTAAACTACATCACACTCTGTCTCCTCTCTTTGCAGGGCCACAGTGCAGACCAACCGTCGACTCCCACAGACACCTTCCCTGGCCCTGACTCAGCCATGGGTATGGACCCTAAAGCCATGTATGGGGCAGGTTACCCAGATCCCCCTTCCATGGGCATGCAAGGAGGCTATGGGCCCGGACCCAGCCCTGGTCCTGGTGCTGGTCCTGGCCCTGGCCCTGGCCCTGGCCCCGGCCCCGGCCCCGGCCCCATGCAGGGCCACCCTGGGCCTGGCTTTAACCCCATGATGGCTCAAATGGGCGGGATGGGGGGCATGCACCCCCGCGCTGCTATGATGCGTCCACGAATGGTGAACGCAACTAAGCCTCTCAGATTGCAGCTTCAGCAGAGGCTACAGGGACAACAGGTGAGAGTTCATGCAAGTTTGTTCCTCTGTGATTCTTAATATTGGGTCAGTGTTTTATCTTTTATTCCTGCATATAATGATATAAACAGTGGTGGAAAGTAACTACTCCCACTGTTCTTGAGTACATTTTTTACTAGCAGCAGGTTTTTTTTTTAGTGTAAGTAAATCATATTTTCATATTTTAATTAGATCACATTTTACTTTTGAGTTTACCTTTTTAGTTCATTTGTAATAAAGTATTCAACTGTTTTGTTTCAACTTTTTAGCTAATTTTTTAATTAAGTCGCTGAAGGAGAAAAGTCTTTTCACAGCCTGATGAAGGAATTGGCAATTCATTTAACTTTGTTATTTTGGAAAAGCAAGCACAACTGCTCTTCATTAAATATAAAGCTGTTGCTTAAATGTCATACTGTGAGTGTCTGTTAGTGAGCTCATTTAACTAATGTAGACTAACAATAATCAGATAATCTAAAGGATTTTAGGTAGAGGGTGAAACATTGAGCACTGGATCTAACGAATATTAATGAATACTGAAATTAATAATGAAGTTCTGTATTTGTATTTGAGTTATTTTCTTATTTACTACTTTTATTTGTATTCTAGTGAATTATCGCTTCAGTAGCAGTGTTGTTATGTATTGATTTTCTTAGAATTTCCAAGGCCATAGCTACAGTTCCCAAAAGCTGGTAAATGTAATGATACATGGTAGAATTCATGTTAAGAAGAATAATTGTATTACAACACAAACATGCTATATTGGTATCAGCATATTGCACTGCCACTAGACCTGTCAGAACATAAAATATTAGCTGATGATTAATTTTGATTAATTTAATTGTCTTTTTTGTTCATTTTATGCAACTGTTAAAGTGTATAAAGCAGCTAAATCGGCTGATAAGCTGTCTTGTGTTCTAGCTACCTTTATTTTGCTGTGAACTCCAGGTTGTACTGACAAAAAATGTTACATTGCACTGTGAACACAATAACAAGTGTCTACAGTTTCACACACACGTGTAAAGCCAGCCAAAACTTTTACATTTTCCTTCAGACTGTGTAAATATGAGACAAAAACACTTGTTCTGCAAGCATACCTGCTTATCTAGCTAATAAACACCCCCTAAACATGTTGTAGCAACCGGTTAAAAGTTAAAACTAAACTGTCCCACCCTTTTCTTTTTCTGCTTATTGTGATAAAAATGTATTATTTATTGCGGTCAGATTAAGTAATTTAGATTATCTCAGATAATTGAGGTTATCTTAAAAATTGCAATCAGACGATGATGTAGTCATTGTGATAGAACCTAAATGCCATTGTATTTTCAGTCATAATAATGATTTGAAAAGCACTTACAACAAAAAAAATGTGGGTAAATGGGGGAATGGGTGGTCTGTGTTAAGTAATGCTAAATTGTGTTATTTTGCAGTTTATGAACCAGACCCGACAGGGAATGGCAATGAAGATGGAGAATGCACCTGGAGCAAACCCTGGAGTGAGGCCTGGCATGCAGCCCGGCATGGGGGGACAGGTACTTTACTATTCACTGCTTAAATCAATGAAGAAAGCCCAGTACAAACACTCTAATCTGGGTGCCTGGCTACGGATGAAGTGAAAAGCCATTTACGTTTAGCAGCAGATGACTCTGACATGCTGAAACTAATAGTGGAAGTTATTCTTAGTTGTTTTATGGCCATTTGTACATGCTGTTGGGCTTTAAGTTTAATGCCCTATGCCTTATGCCTGGCTTATTGACAGCACCCCACTCTCTCTCTCTCTTTCTCTCTGTCTCAGCCTGGTTTTCTGAATGCTCAGATGATGGCTCAGCGGAGTCGAGAGATGATGACTCTGCAGATGAGGAGGCACAGGATGATAATGATGATGCAGCAGCAACAGCAGCAGCAGCAGCAGCAGGCTGCTTCTGGAGGCTTCAGCCCCCCTCCCAACGTCACCGCCCCTACAGGCATGGACAACCCCATGGGAGGAGCCTCCATGAACCAGCCGGGCCAGCAGCCGTTTAACTATGGTGCGAACTATGGTGGGTTAAGATATGTTTAAATCGATGTCTGGGCATAAATCAGATTTTCACAATTTCCCTTTTTTAAAACATCTAAAAAAAATCTGCAAAACTGACAAACATTTTAATAATATTCAGGCTTTAAAATCAGTGTTAGGCCTGTTTTCAGCTATGCTGTGCACTTTTGTCTGTTTTTACTGATAATAGTGCGTCACTCAGTTCAAGAAACCACATAAGTTAGTCTGATTTTCTTTAGAAATTGCACTATAACGTGATGCAAAGCAAAAGTGTGATTATGTGTAGCTCCAGTGCAAAAGTAAAGATGCAAACCTGCCAGACACCAAACATGTCTTGGCTCATCAATAGTATTTGGGGAATGGGAACATTTTAATTATTGTTTTGCAATTGTTGTGTTTATATGCTCTGTAATGAGGTTTAGAGCAAGAAGAAATAAAGGAAATCAGCCAAAACATAGTATATGACAGCTGAAAAAATTGGTTGCAAGTTAATTGAAAGATTTATACATACAAAAAATACTTATAATAAAAACAAATTAATTGTGTAAATGCAGGGATGGGCCAACAAGGGGACCCTTCCTTCGTGGGAACTGGCAATAGCCCTCCTAATATGATGCCTGGCCGCATGGGAGGCCCTCAGAATCCCATGATGCAACAGCACCCTCAGAGCGGCCCCATGTACCAGTCAGCAGAGATGAAGGGCTGGGGACAAGGAGGCATGCCCATGAACAGGTGAGTGGCCTATGATAAGGTGTAGCTACATGACCCATGAAGTACAGCTCTTAAACTCAGTCGTCTGCCTGTTTTTTTTTTTCTTAATCCAGTTCATACCCTCAGCAGCAGCAGCATTTCCCCCAGCAGGGGGCGCCATCGCAATATGGAGGGATGATGATGAACGGGGCCATGCAGGCAGGAGTGAACGGGCCAGGACAGATGCCTCCGATGCAAGGGCAAATGGGCATGAATGCCATGGGCATGGGTCGCATGCCACTGGGACCTGAACAGGTGCACCGTGTCAATTAATAACATGCATTAATAGCTCTTTCTGTATAACTGCTTCCTTGCTTACCACGAAAACATATCCAACTTAGATCGGAGTTAGTTAACTTTATTGTCCACAATAGACTTTATTTTTTTTTCATTATTTAAAATGTTTATATATATATATATATATATATATATATATATATATATATATGTGTGTGTGTGTATATTATTAAGGCTTTGCCTTAATATTACAACTCCCTGTAATATTTCTAATCTGTGGTTAGTTAGAAAATGTATACAATAGAAAAAATGCACTTAATTATAGGCTGTACAAACAGAACTAGACACATTACATACGTTGAAAACCTTTGCCACTTTTCCTTTCTGCTATCCTGCACTACCAGAACACAGTGTGAGCTGACTGACAGGCTATGGTTTCGTAGTTCTTGCTATAGGTTTGTCTCGCAATAATGAAATGATAAAATGGCTAAAACTTCCTGAGAAACTGGCCTATAGGCTTCTTTTATTGTAGCTGTATTTGTACTGTTATTTTGCATTATTATTGTTGTTTTCAGGCTGTTAATAATGATAGTACGCTTTCTCTTTCTTTGTTTTTATGTAAATTTGATGTAAACACATCAAAATCTAAGCCCTCGTTCATGTTTCGTAAGGGGGAAACGTTCCATGCTTGAAGTAAAATAAAGCACTAAAAGTAATCAAAGGCAAATATGTTTACTTAGGTGCATCTTAAAGGTGCGGACGACACGTTGCCTGATATTTAAATTATCTAACTGGAGTGGCTGTCGCAATAGATTATATCGCCGAAGCTTGATACTATCGCCACTCGGCTCTAGCCTAGTTAAGAACAATTTTTCCTTATATAACATTGAGTTTTGTTACGACAGCAACCATGTGCACAATACCCTACATCAAAACACAACATAAACACGTTAAATGCATGAGACAGTTAGCAGTGCATATTAGCAGTTTGAGCAGCAACATAAATCTGAAATGTTGTTTCTGCTACTGACATCATGTTGGATTTTGTGCTGTGTCTTTTGCAGAAGTACTTGTAGCAGAAAGCCACCTCAGTGAGAGTAAAGGAGAAGGAAGTCCTAATCACTCATCAGAGCAGCAGCCGAGAGTGGACACGCAGCACTGCCGAGCTGCTGCTGTGAATGGACGAGCGACCCTTGCAATGATCAAGCTGGGACTATGAGAGAGAGACTGAAATGGACTCCTTCCCAGCTCAGTGTGTGAAGTGTGTGTGTGTGTGTGTGTGTGCACGTGCGTGCGCGCGCAATAGAGTGTGAGAGCAAAGGGGATGTCCATCTGCAGCCAAGTCCCCACGAGTATGTGTGGCTGTAAACGCAGTACTTGACGTAACCACCAGAAGGCGCTTCTCTTTTGCTGTGGAACTGAATAGGGGTGGGTTATGGTACAGCAGCTGAATGGGTGGGGATGCACTTTATCACTAATAAGGCTAATAAGAAAAAGGATGTTTGCAATATTTCTTGCTCATTCTAGCCTTATCGAAAGACTCAATATGTTTAGCATTGACTTTCTAAAATCCTTTGTTTTTTTTTTTCCCCAACTGGTTTTATTAGAATTCTTGCTTTCAGGGCAGGCCTACTTCAGTTTTACACTATATGCAGATCTGAGCAATAAACCTCTTCTCTATGCCATACATGCTAAATGGTGCGTCAGTCAAAAAAGCAAAAGGTACTGCAGTATTAAATGGGCTTTCTTTTTTTTTTTTTGTTTTATATGTGAATAAGACTGGACTTGTACATGCTGTGCGCTCCAGATGTATCATACATGCTCTTATTATATACTGTAAATATGCACAGATTTTGGTCCACATTTGGTCCATTCTATTATTTTAGGTCAATATTCGCTTTGGGTTTAATGCTGTTTTACTTTTTGTCAAAGGGAGAGCATTTTATGAATGCGGTGGAGAATCTGGGTAGAGGAAAGGTGATTTTTCCCAATCTTTCTCTGCAAGCTACCTGTTACTATTGTTAACGTTTTCTCGTTTCAACTGCATTTTACCGCTGGGGTCTTCATAAATCTACCTTTAAGAAACTTGCACAATCCAAAGATATATTTCATTGTTTTGCTGAGTTCTTGGCTTTGACAATAGTTGTTTGTTGTGCGAATGCACAGAGTGCTGGTACATATCATATAAACTGATTATGATTTGTACTACATGTACACAGAACCAAGTGTAACTATTTTAATTTCAAGGCCAGTTCATATAGCAGTGTTTGTGCGTGTGGAGGCTTTCTGTTTTTTTTTTGTTTTTGTTTTTTTTTTCTTAAATAACAATCAAATGAACTACAACGTGCAACATATCAGTCATTTTCTTTTCCCGGAATGTTCTTAACCTTTTCAGTCAGGAAGACAGCTTTTGTTTTGTGTTTATTTTTGATAGCCTAGATTGTCGGATCACGATGAAATATATTTAGAAATGAGAAATGCAGAAATGGTCTTTCTGTTTTGTTTGAGTCATGGGAAGGGGTCTAACTTATGTAGAGGAGGGGGGCAGATAAACTGACGTTTTACAGGATGTAAATTACTATACATTTTGTTTTCCTCGATGTTGATATTGTTGTAAATAAAATTTATATTTAAACATGACCAACTGGCTGCTGCTTCTGTGGTACTGACAATCTGCTGTCGTGTTGAGTTTCATGTTAATCTTAAAGGGGAATTCCACCGATTTTTCAGAATTTGTGCATAATTCCACTGTTATGATATAAACAGTCACTCAGAGTAGTTTGATGTAAAATGGTTAATTGCACAGGCACTTACCGACTCAGATTTTTTTACAGTGGTCTTGATAAGAACCAGGAGTCGCGATGTCTGCAACACAAACATAGCCATTTTAATAACTATCCAAAACAACCAAGTTATATGTAATGTTAATGATGGTAAACTACTGGAAAATCTGGGAAAAAGGTTTTCTTTGGGGACTATGTATGTATCTCTCTGCTATGAATGGTTTTTAAGAGTATGTTTTAGACAAAAAGCCTTCTCAGAACAAAGTGTCTCGGACATCAGGTAGCGTATTCATACACCTTCACGTCATAACGTTCTGTGTAGGAGCTTTATGGGGCAGATGTCTGGTTTCTATCACCACAACTGCGATTGTGCCTCTGCCAATTTCTCTGGAACTGAGCTTTTCACATCAAATCTTTTTGAATGACTATGCTTACATCTCAGCCATTTAATTATGTAGAAGATTTGAAAAGCTGGTGAAATTCCCCTTTAATCCACCATGCTTGATCTGACGGTTGTCTTCAGAAGTCCTGAATTACCTGGATGAGGTATGTTACATTAGGTGTGGTGGTAAAACCTAGATGGAGCTGGTCCGTGTTTTCCTTGTGTGGCCACAAGAGGGCGCCAAAGTGCTCAGTTTACGTGTGTGCTGTTATTGTAGCATATTCTGCGACTGAAACCATCCTTAATACAGACATAATAAATATTAAAAGTCAATAAATATTTAGCGAAACGTTATTCACTTGGTGGAAAATGCAAAAAAAAGGCATTTACATCATTATGCATCATTATGAACACACGTTATGAAAAAAGTGTGTATCTTCCCATATTCATATCTTCGAATTTATAGGATTATTATGTTCATAGTATAACTTTTCAAAACGTGTCTACCCCAAAGACTGTTTTTAAGTGATTATAAAAGTTTTTATGACATGCATTACTTTTAGATAAGGTCATTTTACCAAATATGTCCACATAAACTTAGGCTATTGTCTCTCTCTGTACAGCCTGGTGTTTATTATTAGTAGACAATAGGCCTATTTCAGTATTTACCACAGTTTTGAGGTCTTTTCGGTAGTGTCTTGCCCTTTTGAGCCAGCAGGGGCATGTGGACAGCTCTGGGTTGGCCGACTTTCGCTTTTTCATTTTTTTTTTTCCTTGTTATTTTTATTATTATTGTGAAAAGAAGTTTCGTTTCGTGTGTGAGGGCCTAGGCAGAGGGAGTAGAGCTGTTTTCTGGCCCTCTTCCCTGCCCATCTGCGGCCTGGGCTTGCGGATTACTGTTTGTTAATGTTTCAATCAGCTGTGTGCTGAGGAATGTGGAGCGATTTAACCTGAACTTCCCCAGGTGCGCAGTGGCGCCGCTCTGTCTGCAGCCTCCCCCTCCCTCCCCCTCCTCCTCCTCCTCCTCCACTACTCCCTCCTCCCTTCCCTCTCTCCCTCCTCTGCCCTCCCGCTCTCCCCTCAGCGCGTACTCTTTATTTCCCACCCGTATTCCGACACTCGCCTACTGTGCTGCTACTGCTAAGACTGATTACTGCTGCTACTAAATGATTATAGCCTTATTTAGCCTGTATAACAACTCCTAGGAGTAAGTGTGACACAACTACTACCACTACTAAACTAAAACTAATACTATTACTACTGCTAGTATTACTATTAGGCCTACAACTAATATTAATATTACTACAACATGTAGTACTACTGCTACTACTACTGCTGCTACTATTATTATTGTTACTACAATAACATGTACTACTACTACTACTATTGCTACTATTACTAATACTACAGGTCCTACTATTATTATTATTATTATTACAACACTTACTACTACTATTGTTATCAGTAGTAGTAGTAAGTATTGTAATACTATTGATAACAATCGTAGTAGTAAGTGTTATCAATATTACTATGTTTAATATTATTATTAGTCATATTATTAGTACTACTACTACAACTATGGGTTCTGTTACAACTACTAATCTTACTACTATTGTTAGTATTTCTTCCACTACTATTGTTACTATTACTAATATTTTTACTATTACTGCTAATACTAGTATAACTACTATTACAACTCCTACTACTATTAGTATTATTACTACTATTTTTACTATTACTACTACTACTAATGTTACAACTACTACTACTGTAAAAACAGCTACCATTATTACTACTATTACTATTACTACCACCACTATTACAACTATTACTACTCTTATTACAAATACTACTGCTACTAATACTATTACTACTCACTCTATTTAGCCTATATATTGTACACACAGCTCATTGCGCTTAACTAAAAAATGGGATGGTTGAATAATCAAAAGTCTAAATAGAAATATGAGCAAAAGTAATTAAGAAGCTTATAAACACTACTAAAACACATAAAAGCAGTATTAGGACACTATAATTGATATCAAGAGTTGAAAAAGATGTTTGGAGTGGCCTTATAAAGATGTCATGGAATTTGTGTCCATACTCATGGATTTACTGAGATGGGCTTGTATGAATATAGGTGGGAATAAAACACTTGGCTTGAAGCGATCACACATACACACACCCCTGATCCCACCACATCGCGCAGCCCTGCAGCTGCAGAGCGCATCACACCGCAGGGAAATAGGGGAGAAAAACACACACACACACACACACACACACACACTGCACCAGGGAGAGTGAATAAATCTTAAACTGCTTTCTTAACTCAGGACAAATTTAACCCTTACCAAGCTAAAAAAAGAAGCAATATATTCCCAGTTTAAGCCTTTTTTTAAATATATATTATACAGTTGTGTATAAACCACCCAACAGTGGAGATACAGGCTATAGTATCTCCACTGAATAATAAGCATCTATCCAATTATCCATTTTAATTGTTTGAGTTTTGTCACTGCTTAGGTCTGGCATGCTTTAGATTTAAGCTCCTCAGATTGGAGGATAAGTGTTAACTTTAGCTTTAAATTATGAACGAAACACTTTGAACATGTACAAAAGTCTTATTTTTCCCCCACAAGTTCACTTTATGTTAAACTCATCTATGATTTTTCCCTTTTACAGTGAACACAGTTAAATAGGCTCTCATCTCCATCCATCCTTCATTTTCCCCACTTTTCCTTCAGCTGACACGCACATCCAGTCCATGACACATTTGAGACACACAAAGATTAGACAGAGTCGTGAATAAAGTTGGTTTTGTTTTAATAAAAAAACCCACCAAACAGGTACATTGTAAAAAACACAATAAGGACGTCCAATATCATGTCATTGTAATATACAATACATTCATTTTGCTCAGCAATCTGAGAAATCAACCTTTATAACAAAATATAAAACTTTCTAAAGGTATGCCAATATAAAACGAGAGAAACTCTGACCGTAAGAACACATATGCAATGTTGGTGGGGTAACAACGTAATTTGCCATGGATTCCACAGCAAACCCACCCAACCATGATGAATCTGCAACCCTCCCAAAAATAACATTTAGATGGAGAATCACAGTTCAGTTTGGTCACGGAATGAATGAATGTCCTCGCAGTGGGTGAACCACAAAATTAAAGTCTCTTCCACACCAGAAGTCAGGGTGAACCTCCCCTCTGAAGAGCTCAAGGCCTCAGCAGGAGGAGAAAAGCACTGCTGATGACTTTCTGACCATTTTCTGTGATGTTTATCTCTCTTTGCTCTCATTCTTCTGGTAGCCTGTATGGTCTTCTAGCGGCACATGATTCTGTCGTCCGAGCTGTTCTGTAAGATAGAAGAAAGAGACGTTTAGACACTTCAGATATCTTTCATCACAGTATCACAGTTAATGAACAAATAAGAACGTACACAAATTTTGCCTGAGTTGCTTATTCATATATTCCTTTAAAACAAACACTTTTGAGAAAATAAGCCTTTTCATACATAGATAAGTCTACTTCGACCCATGAATGAACAAGAAAGTGTAGCTTTAGACACTTTTAGACTTGTTTTGGCTCAGACAGGCATTTGTATAGTCGACTAAGTCATATCTCAAAAGAATTAAACCTAGGTGTTTAATGTTTTGAC